AAAAAAACATGTCTTTGTGTCCAAAATGTCTCATCAGAGAGGAGAGAAGAAAGTTCATCAGAGCCAGGCTTTTTCCTGGCTCTGAGTCTGCTCACATACCTACATAGAGGCGTTTCACAGGGTCACATGACTCTTCCTCCTCACAGAATGAACCGTGTCATCATCATCAGAGTGCTGAAATACTTAAGCAGTGTGTTAATGGCAGACAATCAGTAAGTAAATGAATAAGTTAATTTATCAGATGAAATGACCTCAGCTTGATCTCTGCTGAATTTCAGCTTTAAAGATGCCATCTCCTTTGCTAAAAACCACACCTTTGATGTGTTTGTGGCGGTGGGCGGTGGCTCAGTGATCGACACGTGTAAAGCGGCCAATCTGTATGCGTGTCACCCCGATGCCGACTTCCTGGACTTTGTCAATGCTCCGATTGGCAAAGGGAAGCCAGTGAGTGGAGCTGTGAAACCGCTGATTGCAGGTATAACGCGTCCCACTTTTTTTCCTTCTTCCTCCATCTTTGTGGCTAACTTTGGGTTTTTGTGTCCAGTTCCCACAACTGCAGGCACCGGCAGTGAGACCACAGGTGTCGCCATTTTCGACTATGAGCCCTTAAAAGCCAAAACAGGTATAAAAATAGGGATATAAAAGCATATTAGAAGTTGATTTTCCCCTTTGAGATGTTTTAGAAAGACAGTGAGTGAAGATTTAATAGAAATCATAAATCAGCCAATAGAAACCAAGCTGCGGGAGCTGTTATTCATTATCCAAGTTCTTATGATGGACCCTGAGCTGTGATTGGCTGTTTATGCTCAGGAATTGCCAGCAGAGCCATCAGACCCACACTGGGCATCGTGGACCCGACGCACACACTGAGCATGCCTGAGAGAGTCGCCGCCAACAGTGGCTTCGACGTCCTCTGGTCTGTCTGTACTTATGAAGGACATTTATTCATTTTCTGCATTTTCTGTCTTTTTTGATTCATCATTATTATTTTGTTATCATTATATTATTAGTATTAATATAATTATTATTTGCTGTGATGGTGGCGTGTTCCCTTCATGTTTTTCATAGAGGTAGAGATACTGCCAACCTGATGTGAGACACTTCCATCACACTGATTGATCTCTGCCTTTCAGTCATGCCCTGGAGTCATACACCGCCCTGCCCTACGACCAGAGGAGCCCCTGCCCCACAAACCCCATCAACCGCCCAGCCTACCAGGGCAGCAACCCCATCAGCGATGTCTGGTCCCGCCATGCTCTCCACGTGGTTGCCAAGTACATGAAACGGTACGGCCCCAACTACAACTAAAGTATATCCATGATATGCATTTCATCCAACTGAATTCATTTGTAATTGAAATAAGTCTTGATTGATTGATTACAGAGCTGTGCGAGACCCTGAGGACCTGGAGGCTCGTTCCAGCATGCACCTGGCCAGCGTGTTTGCCGGGATTGGCTTTGGGAATGCCGGGGTTCATCTGTGGTAAGA